CTTCTCTGCCTTCCTTTCTTTCTCTTTCCTTGTACAGTTCCTTGCAGGATTGTTTTGGTAAGTCCTGTGGATCTTGTGGCGTGCCCATACCATTTTTATTTTCGTCTCTTCAGTGTAGTCAGTAGATCTTCATACTGCCCCACTGCGTTGGTAATTCTCTTTCGTACCTCAGCATTTGAAACGTGGTCTTTGTACGAGATGTCAAGGAGTCTGGGGTAACATCTCATCTCTGTGGTCTGAATCTTTTTCTCTAATTCTGCGGTTAATGTCCACGACTCGCAGGCGTATAAAAATATTAAGATGACCAGTGAGCGCATTAGTCTGTTTTTTGAGTTTTGCTTGATGTTTCTTTCCCTCCAAATAGCCTTCAGTTTTGACAGCGCATAAGATTTCTGGTCTTGAGCCTTCATCTGAGACGATTGATCCGAGGTATTTGAAGCTGTTGACGGTCTCAAATTTCTCGCCCCTGATTTTGATGTCCGCGTTGATGCCATTGGTGTTATTGGTCATTAACTTGGTTTTCTCGGCACTGATCTCCATGCCGTAGGCTGCTGAGGTTGTGTCCAGCCGCTCCACTAGTGTGGCGAGCTCCTGTTCCTCTCCTGCTAACCCATCGATGTCATCGGCAAAACGCAAGTGAGTGATTTTCCTGCCCCCAATACTGATTGTTCCATTGTGGTATTCCATAGTGTCAGTCATGATTCGTTCTAGGAAGATGTTGAAGAGAGTGGGAGAGAGCAAACAGTCTAGCCTCATCCCAGCCGTTGTCCTGAACCAACCCCCCATGCTGCCGTTAAGTTAAGGTAGACTGCGTTAGAGGCCTTGTCATATAGTTGTTGTACGACGTTGATCAGGTTCGCGTTCATGTTATATTTCCTCATGGTTGCCCATAAGGCTGCATGGCAGACCCTGTCGAAGGCCTTTTTAAAATCCAATTTATATATACATACAAGCGAGCAAAAGAAAGGAAAAAAAACTATTTTGGCCACACCTAATTAACCATCAGTTGCAGCTTAGAAGACTAAAATTGACACCGTCGATAGTATATCATATCCTCTTTGGAAATCAAAAGTCTCCCGTCTTGCTTATCACCGACGACTAGAGGTATTGCCCTTTAATTGAAGCATGGAAAAAGCCACGTGGTGCCTTCGAAACACGATCTAAATGAGTGAAAAAGGGGTAAAAAGTAATCTCCTGAGCTCGGCTATAAAAGTCGAGGTAAAATCGGTTGGGTCATTTCGCAAGCAATTGCTACGACAATGCCACGTTTAAGGGCTATGCAGCAAGAAATGGTAGAAGGCCGTTTGGGGGGGGGGGGGGTGGAGAAAGGCAAATTGTGGTTGCCAATCATTTTGGTGTTCACATCTCGACTATCGACAGACTCATAAACCGTTTTCAGCTCAAGAATTTACCTGAGGCCGAAAAAGGTCAGGTCGACCCGGAGTGACTGATGCACGTGCATACAAATACATTGTCCGGATGTATCGTTCAAATCGACTTCAGACAGCTACAAAAACTTCATATTTCATAAGGGGCACCCACGGAAGAGCCATAAGTCGACACGCAGTAAACAGACGATTACGTCAGAAAAGCCTTAGACGCCCTCGACCCTACCATGGTCCAGTCTAGACCGCACACCATCGCCAAGAGCATTTCAACTGGGCCCAGTACCATGTCAACAGCCGTTTGAGTCACTGGTCTTTGGTTCTCATTTTTGGACGAATGTCTGTTCTCCATAGATACTATAAACAGGGACCTTAGAGTTAATCAAGAGGATGGCAAACGTTATCGTGACAACTGTGTCATAGAAAGTAATCCCTGGCAAGAACATTGCGTCATAATCGGGGGTGGAATCATGTGAAACCACAGAGTAGGACCAATGATCTTTTAAAATCAAGGCCAAGGTCGATGTCAAGGTATCAATGCTGCCCGTTGCACAGCAGAAGTTCTTAGGCCCCTCTACCCAGTCAAATGTTAATTTCCGGTTCCAGCCAGATATTGCTTCCCGTGTTACTTAGGATTTCCTCCAACACCATGGCATTACTCTGCAGCCTCGCCCTGCCCTTAGCACGGATTTAAACCCAATTAAGCATTTTAGGACGAAATTAAAAGACGCACCGAGGGGAGATAACCAAGGCAGAGAATCACATAGGAACAGGATGTGGCCATCCAGGAGATGTGGAGGCAGATCCCGCTACGTTTTACTAACAACCAAGCGGCTTCCTTGTACCGGAGATCTGCCACGGTTATCCGATCTAATTGTTGCCAAAACCACTACTGAGCATGCTGATGCATTAACCGGAAGTTAAAAATATATTTCGCGAAAATGTAATATTCCCAATGATGTCCCACGTATCCTTTCATAACGCCAGAAAACAGTTTGCGTTTAAATTCCCCCGTTTTGTTAAAAATGGAAAATAAACATGATCACCATTGCAAAGGTAAACAGCATTTTGCGTTTCTTTTGCTCGCTAGTATATATAATATACAAAATATAATATATAATATATTATAATTATATATATATAATTCAAGTATGGACTTTTTAAAATCCAGATCTACGTGATCTCGTATGCCACTACTTATTGCCCGACGTGTAGTATTATAATGTTTACCACATCGGAAATTATTACAGCGATTGTTGAAAATTGAGACTGTTCCTTTGACTATTTCAGTTGTAGCATAGATGGTTTGCGTCTTGCAGTTTAACTAGAATAATTTAGAGGATAGATAAATAGATAGATAGATAGATAGATAGATAGATAGATAGATAGATAGATAGATAGATAGAGAGGTGTGTTTATGTGTGTTTGTGTGTGAGTGTCTGTATGTGTGTTTGTTGGTGGTTGTATGTATGTGCCATATTTCATTTGCTTTCCATTAATTAAATCATGTAATAAGTTGCAACACTTTACGAAAGATAAAAGGCAAAAATCGTTTGGGGAGATTTTCTGAAAAGGAGGATTTAATTCAGACTTCAGAACTAAACACACAATGGATAAAGTTGTGATGATTTGCCTTTTTAAAAATGCCTAAATCGTTTAAGTCACGTGTGCGTTATCTAAACCAAAGGATAGTAATATAAAATCTATGTAGATGAAATGTGAAATGCTAAAGAGCAAACACAAAAATATTTTCTAGCTTACTTTGGTCTCTAAGTCTTTGGGAACGCAGATTCTGGCCATTCAACAACGCTTGAGAACGCATTGTTGTGGATAACTTTAAAAAGAAATTTAGCTCCATTTTTTTCTTTCAAAGTTTTAAACTCCGTTTTCTTTATCTGAAACCTATAAAAATAGACACTTTGCATGCTGTTAAAAAAACCAAACAATTTTGTGTTTTTGATTTGTTTATGATCCATGATCCTTCTCATGTGGCACAACATGGCTTTTAGTCTGTTGTCGGACCTATTATGTCTCCTCTTCGTTCTTGGAGAGTTAACACTGAGCAGCTCCAAGCACTTTGCTTCCTTCTTGAACCTCTCCAGTCAGTTGGTCCACGCAGAAACAGTGATCTGGAAAAGAAAGGTGACATTTAATTTTGTGTCACAGTGCGTTCGTTGATTTATTTAGGCATATGGGGTTACTGATAATATCATCTTAAAGCTTGTTCACGTATCTTTGTTTTGATGACAAAAATATCCTTCTATCTTGAACAGAAGTCGAGAAATGTGTGATTGAGGAAGCGGGGCCTGCCTGGCCTGGTGTCAGAAGTTACGTTAGCGAGAAACTGACCGCCAACGATTGCTGACTGCCAAAGCTTAGGTGTCGTTGAAGACTGCAAAATTACATTTTCGAGCCTCTGATCAACGTTTTTCAGTTTTTTTTAAATCCACACCGAAATGTGCTTTAAACGGAATTAAAAGTAATTGACCCCCCCCCCCCCCCCCAATGTGATCAAAATTACCCAGTGTACCGAAAATGTAGGTCTCTTTGAATTCATTAGTTTGACGAACACCCAATTCCGCACGGCTGATAATTAAGCATGAAAGCATAGATTTGTATGACAAAGAACATGTCTAATGCCCTATTAGAAAGAGTTAATTGAGGAATTGGACTGCAGATTTCTACGTATAACTAGAGGAGCACAAAAGCAGGTGGCTTACAAAACCAGGAGAACGCTCCCCAAACAACCCTAGAACAATAATCTTCCATTAAAGTGAAAAGATGGTACAAAATGAATTGTCGAAGCGTTTCGCATAGTAGAAAGTGAACAATTAGTACTTTAAATACATGTACCATTTTAGTATAAATCCAATCCCTTTTTTAAACACAACGTCAAAGAACAATGAGACTTTGAATATGAACAGCCAAAATACTACCTTGTAAATCTTCTTCTTGTTTGTATGCAAGGTGTATGAAAACATATTACGTCTATAATATACGTCCGTGATATGTTAGTGTATCCATAGGTCTACATTGTATGTGCGTGTCTGTACAAGTATAATATTTTACTCACTAGTGTTGTCGCATTGTTGAGCCAAAAAGTTGCCTTGAACATCACACTTGGCAAACCACTGGCCCTCGTAGACGACCATAGAGAATGTACACTGTAGCGACTTTCTGCGGCAGGCTGTGTTACAGTGAGGCACTGGGGACGAGGAAAAGGACAAAGGGACGTGCAAAGGTTAAGTATAGAGTGCATACAGTGCGCTACCTCAGAAATAATTATAAAGTTCTGTTGCTCAGTACTTAGTCTTGAGAAATTTGGCGTCAAAAGGTTTGAGTGTTGGTTTCACACCATGTCAAGTTTTATCTAATGCAATTCTTTGAATATCTTGATAACGACTCCGAATATTCTTACTATTTTTATAGAACAGATAAAGCGTTTGCTTTCTGACCTCAAGGTCTTAGTGACACACAATCGCCAAAAATGTCAGATAGAATTTATAATTCTGAGATGTACTTTAAGTATGCGTACAGGGAAAACTTTAGGGTATTGTGGTCCTTCGTATTATATTATTTTGATTATGTCATAATGTTCCCATTTGTAAAGGTATAGAATTCATATGTGAGGCAGCGTGGTAGAATCAGGCTCTCGTCAATTTTCGGGCATGTAGAGTTATTGGTATCATCTTAAAGCTTGTTCATTTGTCTTTATTTGGTGAAAAAAATATCCATTCATTTTGAATACAAGTCGAAATATTTGCAAATGAAGGAGGTGGGGGTCAGTTGTTTTCAGATGTAAAATTAGTGAGAAAATGGCCACCAAAGATTAGTTATTTCCTTAGCTTAAGAGTCCATGGTAACTGAAAATTTACTTTTTTGTGCCTTTAATCAACATTTTTCGGAAATGAGTTCGTTAATGGGTATGAAAGATGTTGAGCCAAAAAACAAAAACTGTATAAGAATTCACAAACCTGCGGAAAAATGCAAGTTTCTTCACTTTGATTATTTTGACAAGAGCCTGATTCCACCATGCTGCCTCACATATTTTAATATACAATACTCAGTATAGGTGATTGCAACCTGTAAAATGACTTTTATATTGTTTATTATATGCGCGGTATCCCATTAAAAAAATATATGGCTGAAAATCCCAACCCATACGATTACCCTAAGGCACGTAACGTAACGATATGGGAAAAAATGTGACATAAATACAAAACAATGCTCTTACAGATTGCACTACACCTATCGTCCATACTGTGGCCAATTTACAAAAGAATCCTTTGAACAGCCTCTAAAATCTTGTTGCACTAAAATCCCATACCTTTAAATTTAAAAATTCACAGTTTTAAGAAAACGAAAAAAAAAAATCTTCATATCATTTACACCTTTTTACTACCACATGCAAGTCAGTTAACTAGAAAAGGATATGATTACTGTTTGTGAGAAAGAATAAAATTATTCAGTAATTCTCGTATTCAACGAATCTGTTGAACCCCGCGTCCGAGAGTTCGTTGCCCAAAGGAGTTTAGATACTTGCACCAAGCTGCCATGAGGTTTTGGTGGCAAACATTGGCTTTCTTTGAAAGCGAATTTGTTTTGTTTTTAAATCAAAAAAAGTTTACATTTTAAAAATAGATGTTTTCCATTGTTTTTACTCAAACTTAACATCCACTTGAGGTTACATATATCATTATGTTATTTCCTCACCCTGTGTAATTATATGAAAATCGGTTTAAAAATTGTTGAATAATGCATGAGATAACGCCAACTCTATCTATCTATCTATCTATCTATCTATCTATCTATCTATCTATCTATCTATCT